GTTGAATTATATCTGACGTCGCGTTTCCTATTAGATCAGAGCACACCCTCTGCGATCGTCTCATTGGTCGTCTGCAGGCATCCATTGCATTGCAATCCATTTCATTATCGTAATTTTTTGAGGTTAATTGGTGGTTCAATAATTTTGGATATTTCTCGTTGTTTCTCATTTTATTTTTTCTCTTAATTCTGGCGTTATGGAAGAGATACCTAATTAAAAAGTTTGATACTACGTGTAAATTTATAAGTTGTGTCAGTAAGAAGGAAAGTGAATATGAAGTAGTTTTGCGGACCAAAGTAGATTTTCCTGACTACGATGTACAGTGTATGCAGTGGATAGGCGAGTTTTCTGCTGCTACAAATACGCAATGGATTGTTTCACAAAACTATCCAAATTTGCAGAGGCTTCACTATAGAAAAGATTTTGTTTGTCATCACAACAAAAAAAATAAATGCCGCAAAAACGAAAGCACAAGGGAGAGAAACAAAAATTGTCCTGCAAAAATTATATATAAAGTTAAAAAAATAACTACATTTACTAAATACAGAGACCCTTTTTTGAAAGAAAACTTGAATGCAGTAATTGAGGTAGGTACCATCGTCACCAAAAGTATCTGGGACACAAATAATGCATAATAATCTCCTGGACTAATTCTACTGTCATTCAATTCAATGCATTTAATGCATAGCTTGACAATTATTTGACAATAAAATTCATATAATAGGACAAGAGCTAATGTGATGCTGTCCCAGTTACTTTTGGTGACGATGGTACCTATTGCTCTAAAAAAAATTATTTTCATTGACATAATTCTTTGTATTTCATTGAAACAGATTAACTTCAAACACACTCACCGAATTCATGTTGCGGAGGCATACAGCTTTTTACGCATGAGTGAGTTAACGAAAGAAAAGTTTTATAAGTATTTTGAAGATGGTCTGTCGGCTAGTGAAGCAAAATCATTTCACAGGTCTTCGCTGGTGGCAACTACACCTTTAGAAAAAATATGTGAAGTACTTGCCAATGGTCACATCAATCCTATTGATCGTTCCATCTATCATTTGTTCGAAACTTGGAGGTATGAGTTTTCACGTTTTCGTGCAATATGAATGAATCACCCTGTATATTTTTTTTAGAGAAGAAAATTATGGTACTCGTGAAGTACGTAGTATGACAGAAAAGTTTTTGGAAAAAAGGGATTATTTTGAAGAAAATGGTGTCAAAATAAGTATTCAGGAAGAACCTTTTTGCTGTGTTCTTTTGACTCCACTGATGCAAAGAGCCCATAACATACAATTTTCAAGTGAAATTGTATTTGTAGATTCTAGCGGTTCCTCCTGTGACCAAGGTGGTTCTTCAGTCACGTTTTTTTTTGGTGCGAGTAAAATTGGAGGAGTGCCCCTAGGCTGCATCATTCATAACTTTCAAACAGAAAAAGTTTATGAATTATGTTTCAAGCAATTTCGTGATTTAATTGGGACCGATGGATTTTACGGTAAAGGCTTTCCAGCCGTATTTATGACGGATGATAGTGCAGCCGAGAGGAACGCTTTAAACAAAATTTTTCCACAATCTAAATCATTGCTTTGCACATTTCATGTTCTTCAAGCAGTGTGGCGCTGGTTATGGGACAGTTCACATAACATTGATAAAGACCATAGAAAAAAATTGATGCTTCTTTTCCGAGACGTGCTATATGCACAAAATGAAATTGATCGTGAATTAAACAAGTCGTCACTGTGCGAAGATATTATAGCAAAAAAATATCAACTATTTCTAGACTATTTTAGCGATATGTGGAAGCGGAGACATGAGTGGTGTCATCATTTTCGAAACGAGTATAGAACCAGAGGTCACAATACCAACAATATTGTTGAGGTATCTATACGCATATTCAAAGATCAGGTTTTACAGAGATGCAAAGCATTTAATGCAACCTCATTGGCAGATTTTGTATGCTTTTCTCTAGAAGAGTTTTACAAGCAAAAAATAATATCATTTGTGAATGGTAGAGATATGAAGCTTCAACACTATTTTAAAAAGTTTTGTCATAAATCTGATCTTTTGACAGTAATAAAAAAAACTGATACACTGTTTATGGTCTCATCTTCACAAGACAATACGTTTATGTACACAGTCGATGTTACACCAGAACAATGTGATTGTCCTGCAGGGACAGGAGATAAATTTTGCAAGCACCTTTGTGCAGTTTATAATTCAGGTGTTAATTTGATAACCACACCCCATTTGTTGTTTCAAGACCGCGTTGAACTTGCTACTTTAGCAATGGGAAATAATGTCAATAGTTCTTTTTTTATGAATATGGATTTGAATTCTGATTCTTTGCCAGAAGGTCAGAAGGATTTCAATAGGCCTATGCAGTCTTGTATATCCAATGCAATCATCAACTACGAGCCTCTTAACTCCAATGTCCAGTCATCTGAAGAACATACACAAGTATTAGGGGAAAATCGTGCAAATGATAATAGGTATCACTGCAGAATATGCTGAAGAACTAAAATCATTGGAAGAAAACTTCAAAAAACTGAACCAATTTGCACAAGCTCACCAATGCAAACATATGCTAAAGAACATGAAAGAACTGAATGCTAAAATTAATAATATTGAAAATGAACAGGGATTTTATATTTGTTCTGCTATAGCAACCAAAAAACAAGGACGCCGAATCAAAGTACAACCAACTTCGATTGAACGTCGTGCAGAAAGGGGGCTACATGCAGGCTCTAGAGCGATTCAAGCAGGCAGACCATCTAATGCCGAAAAATTACGTAAAAAAGCAACAAAGCGAAAAAGGTCTTTCATTTCAAATATTTTGGCAAATCAACCGAATGCCAAAAGTCATTGAAATAGGTAATCATTACCTACCTTTTTATAAAATGTAAAAGGCCATTCTTTTATTTTTATTTAATAAAAAAAAAGTTAACCTCCGCAAGTTGTTTTATTATTTATTTTTATTAAAAAGTCATGTAATAACATGGTTGGCAAAATGAGCGTATTTATTTGATTTATGTGCGCTGATCTAATAGGAAACCCGACGTCGGATATAGCTTAACAAGTCCTATAGAAGTAGCGCGCCACGTAGCGGTAGACACTTGGTAGACAATGTGCGCTAACCTAATAGGAAACGCGATGCCAGAGATAGTTTTACAATTCCTAAAAGATTAGTGCTCCATGTAGCGGTAACCAAATAGGAAACGGAAAAATGCGAGCCGGCAGTGCCTGCAATACTCTGATACCCCAAAGGTCGTCCGAAAAATCTCTCAATATCGTTCACAACACAGTTCACAATAATCAAATGAGATAATTAGTTTTTGGTTGTTTTTGAGTGGATATTTTGTTTTGAATTATTTTTTTAAGTTTATTGTCTCATTTTTTATTTTTATAAATTTTCTCGCTCGTAGAAAAAATACTGTTCCTGACTCTTGCGCAAAGTGTCTTGTTCGCACTCGACTGCTGCCCGAACTCCGCTCCGCGTCATTCGGTCAACTGCAGTCAGCGTGCGAACAAGACTTACTTTGCGCACTTGTTAGGAAATATACTATTATTTTTAACCATATATGAAATGTTGTCATTACTGACTTTTCAAAAATTTGAAAATGTCACATTTCATTTTCCTGGTCCATTACCTGTACCAGAACGGGAAATGAGGAAGGGAAATTTTTTCCCTCCTCATTTCCCGTCCACGGACGGAAAATGGAGCAGGGAAATATTTCCCGTCCTCATTCCCCGTCCTCATTTCCCGACCTCCTCATTTATTTGGTTGTCACGAATTTTATTTCATTTTTTTTTCAAGTATATGGTTAAAAATAAAATAGTATACAAACCTCGACGGGAAACTTCATTGCTGTCTCGAGGTTCAGTTTATCTCGACGCTACGCGTCTCGATAAACTAACCTCTCGATCAGCAACGAAGCATTTTCCGTCTCGGATTGTAATATACTATTACAATCATTAACCTGCCGGGGAACTGTCACCAAAATTTGTCCTGTATTAAAATTAGTGAAATAGATGTATTACAAAGAATAGAATCTTTGAACAATGGGTTAGCTTGTGGTCCTGATAGCCTTCCAGTGATCTTTATTAAGAACTAACTGTAAGTTCATTCTGGCACATATTTTGGCTAAAGTTTTCAACAGATCTGTGTTGTTTTTCAAAGTTATTCATAACTTGGAAGATTGCCTCATCTTGCAAGATCAAATTAATAAATTCTCCAACTGGTGTAATTTTAACAACTTATTATTGAATGTGAACAAATGTAATAGTATATTACAATCCGAGACGGGAAATGCTTCATTACTGGTCGAGAGGTTTTATAGTTTATCGAGACGCGTAGCGTCGAGATAAACTGAACCTCGAGACAGCAATGAAGTTTCCCGTCGAGGGTTGTATACTATTTTATTTTTAACCATAATTTCTTGAAAAAAAAAAAATCGGGGAAACCAAATGAGGTCGGCAAATGAAGAGGAAAATGAGAACGGGAAATATTTCCCTGCTCCATTTTCCGTCCGTGGACGGGAAATGAGGACGGAAAAAATGTCCCGTCCTTACTTCCCGTCCTGGGTCAGGTAATGGAGCAGGAAAATGAAGAGACAGAAATGTGACATTTTCAAATTTTTTAAAAGTCAGTAATGACAACATTTCATACATGGTTAAAAATAAAAATTTAACCTTCACTCGTAATAAGAATGTAATTTTATTTGATTATTTGCTGGACAATGTTCAACTGTAGAGACTGACAATAGTTGAAGATTTGGGTGTATACATAGATAGAGAAGTAAGAAGTAACATTCATGGACCATATTGAATTTGTAGCAAATAGAGCCATGAAACTGCTTAGTTTTATTATAAGATCATTGAAAGACTTTTCCAACATTTATGCATTGAGAAACGCTTATATTGCAATTGTAAGATCAATTACAGAGTATGGCTGTACAATATGGTCCCCATTCTATGAAATACATAAAAATAGATTGGAACGTGTACAGAAGAAATTTCTGCGTTTTATAGCGTATAAGTTAAGCATTCCTGCAGACTCTGTCGATTATGACCAGCTGTATTCAGTACTCAATTTAACAAGCTTGAAAATCGTAGAAAATACTACGACTTGTGCATATTATTTAAGATAATTAACAACATTATAGATTCTCCAGATCTTTTGAGTAGAATAAATTTTCATATACCTGTCAGGAATATTAGACAAAATAATCTATTTGCAGTTAGATATCACAGAATTAACTAGGAATATAATTCAGCAATGGACAGATCATGCAGGTGTGCTAATGTATTTTTAGAAAATTTTGATGTTGATATTTTCAACATTAGCATTAATAGCTTTAAAAATCTTCTCAAAAAAAAATTTTGATAACATATGATCTAGCGTTTATTCTATCAATCTCCCATTGGAAATCTAACTGATAGGAAATTGTTTGTATGGTTTTTATTTGATAATACTTTCAACATAATTGTAAACAATAAATTAAGAATTGAAAAAAGAAATACCTTCAACGTAATTCTAAACATTAAAATAAAATAGGAAAAAATATATAAATAAATAAATTGAAAAATCTGTTATCTTTAGTTGTATAATATTTTATAAGTTTCTGAGTTTGTATATCCCCTAGATTCTAGATTATAATATTAATCGATTTATAATGATAATTATTAGGATTTACATTTAAGAAATTGTTTGTAATTAAATTTTGTAAATGACATAGTCCGTCAATAAAACAAACTAAACTAAACTAAAAAGGGAGACAGAACATCCATGAAATCTATATGGGATAACCAAAGGTATCTGCATGCTCGGAAACATTACATCTACTAGTCCTCTACTAGGTAAAAGTAATTGGCCCTCATTTGAGTCGGCTATATTTGCCAGAAAAGCTTTGAAAACAACTACCAAATAAATTATAAATGCATAATTTTTTAAGATTATTACTTACGTTAAGGTGCATATTAAGATAACTTTTACACATACTCCAACAATATTTATTACTTGTTTTGGCTCATTTGCGTAAATCTAGTACTTCTAATGGTGCATTCTCAATTTTAACGTGGTCGGCATTCTAAAAAAAATAATTAACTATTAAGAGTATGTTCAAAGTTCCCCTGCTTGAAACTAAGTTTTTGTCATTCACAGTGTATGATTTATCAGTTTTTTTTTTTGGAGAATCATTCAATTGATGACAATATTTGGTATGTAATCAATTATGCAACCAGAAGTTAACTTTGAGGAATATCTACAAATATTACCGGCACCCTCAGTAAGCTTCTATGCCTCTGGTGATGATAAAAATTGTTGCAATTTTTTTAGATATAATTATAAAGTCCACTCTTCAATATCTCGACTTATCAAGTCTAATAGAGATTTTTGAATATTACACTTGAGACCATGCTTTCTAAACACTAAAATTCTTATTAAAAACTTTGTGAATCAGGCCTATGATGTATCCTCTGCTGTTATATGAATATGATGGCTCAACATTTATTGCTCTCTAATTTGACATACAGAATAAAAAGTTACAGATACCTGAAAATAACAGAAAACGAAACTTCATAGCCTGAATAGTTGAAATCTTGAAAATTGTACAAGATAGGTACACTATCATAAATGGTTCTCCAATAATGTCTGATAGGCTATCCACCGTCAATCACCCTGTATGCATATTATATTATACCTTAAATAAAGGAGGATCTGCTGGATGAGGATGAAAACCAGTCTGTCTACAATTGGCAATATATTTGAGACCATAATTTGGTGTTAGAATGAAAAATCCGGTACTGAAAATTTTGAAAATAATCACGTTTTAAAAGTTTCTATAGACAACACACTAAATACTTACTTGTTATATTTTGGAGAACATACAATAGCAATTGCCTCGGGCATTAATAATTGATAGGGACAATGAGTGTGCAGGTCAACACTCGATAAAAATGCAGTTTGTGTTGGATGCGTCTGCAAAAAAAACAAAAAGTATGAGAAATAGTTTAAACTATGCAAATGAACTCATATAATACAAACGCGTGAAAATATCTAAATAGAACTTGAACATTTTTTTTTTTTTTTTTTTAAAATTCACAAGTTGGGGTTTTACCTCAATTAATGTATGCCTTTTACCCGATGAGTTACTCGCTCATAGTGCATCTCCCTTTCCCCTAATGCACCAAATTTGCGGGGGATGCAAGAAGCCTAGGTATTGTTAATATTAAAGAATAATCATAATATCTGAATTGTGTGTTTTAGAGTGACTCCAAGGAGCCTAGAGCGACAAGTTCTGTGTAACTCGATGTATAAAAGAAATACAGTATATTATAATCAGGTCTTCAAAAAAAAAAACAATCAAATATTGCTCTGATTACGAAAACGTACGTCACATTATTGTTTCTTTATTGGTCAGGATTTTTGACATTAAAGTTTATTGACAAAATTAAAGAAAAATATTGCTAAGACATACGTTTAGAAAACCATAGCAATCTTTGATTTTGTTTTTTGAAAACCCGATATTTTGCACATGTGAAAACGGGCGAATGACAGGTGCCAACTGTCATAATGACAAACACTTGCATTTTTTGAACGGAACATCCTGTATATATTTGACTAGAATGATTGATATTTTCTTGATTCCAAATATACCATAATCATATGTATGTTGATATTTAGTTCAGCTCTTTCTACTCTATTGAAAGTTTAAAAGTGCATTTACATTAACCCAAATAAGGTCTGTTGCCAGTTTCTTATATCAATAGTCAGGCTTACTTAAAGCAATTTCAAATTTAAAATGGCGCAAAAACAACTAAACACATATTACCCTAGGAAAGTTATCAGTGTAATGTTGGCGTGATTTGATGATTTCGGTGATATGACACAAAATAACCAAACTTAATTGGCTCATATTATTAATACTTACATGAATCCACCCAATAGTAATCAAATTGTGCTGATCTTGATAATCAAATATTTCTTCTTCGTTTGTTGTTAAACAGGAATCAGCAGTGCCGTTTTGTTTTGGTACAATCATGTGAGTGATTATTAATTGATTTTTTTCCTGAAACAATGTTGGTGTTTATTTCATAGAATCTTTGATTTTCAAGGAAACTTACCAGTTTTCCAGCTAAAATCCCACAAGTTTCAATGTTTTTCACAGTATTACTTTTTGCTAGACTTTCAAAAAGTGTCATAACTTTGGAAGGTACTAAAACTCCTTTCAAAGTATCAGTATCATACGAGTCTGATGAAGGCTTTTTACTTCTATCAAAAGATGGTATTGGCGGAACAAAGTTATCACTAAAAAATATCATTTTCATTATTTGTGATTATGATATAAGTTAAGTAATGTTTGTTTCACGAGGGTTTGTAACCCAAAATCATTTGCCTTTCTTTTTTAACAAATAAAATTTGACTGAAAAAAATTGATTTGTTTCAGTCTAATTTTATTTGTTAAAAAAAGAAGGGAAATATGTGAAAAGTACAAACCCTCGTGAATCAAAGAGTAGGTACATTTTTCATAGCGCGCATGTGAATGAGCGAAGGAAATTCTGCAATTCACATGAGTTCTTACACAGATATTATACAATTGTTCCACTATAAATGGCAGTAAAAAGCAATAACACAGTTACAAATTAGATTTTTAGATTTGGAAGCAGAAAACAATTGTATGATATCTGTAAAATGGATTTATTTGATTACAGTCCAATGTTGTTTCTCTTGGAGGAATATTGTTGGGAGTTGTTAATAATTGGATCTGCAGAATATTTTTTAAAAATAACTTTGATTTGCATGTTCTATAGTTTTACGAAAAACAGAGCTGTATCTATTGCAATAGTTAATAAGGAAAGCATTATGTGAAGTTCTCTTACTGAACATACAGGCCGTCAATTTTAATCTGATACTCCAAAGGAATGTGAGATGGTGGCTCCCTACGTTAGCCATCTGACGTCACACCTGTTTTTGCCATTTGCTTCACCCCCTCGCTCCTCATACGGAAAGTGTCAGATTAAAAACGACGAACAATATGTGACTTGATATTTGTGTAATCTTAATTCATTGTATTTTGATGTTTGCTTTAAATGTAATTTTTACGTGTGCTGTGCCTTAAAACGTAATTTTCACATGTTTGTAGAAAAAATACATTAAATCCTACCTTTCATAAGGTGGAGGTAGCTCGGGCGCAGACGGTACAGCTTTAATAGATGGTCCAGTTAAATTAGGATCAGGATAGCTAACTCCGTCAATAGATCCTGGAATTTCGGCTGTAACAAAGTCGGGTAGTGGCCCTGAAGGAAAAGGCTTAGGCCCGCTTTCTTGCTTTTTCAGATCGGCTTGTTTTTTCTTTTCTTCTGCTTCTTTGGTAAGTTGTTTCTGGAAATAAAATATTTCAATATCAATATTTAATCAAAATAAACCCCTACTCTGCTTGTCCACTGTACAAAGAGACAGGAGGATTTGCGTCCTTGTAGCATTCTACAAAATTCTCACATTTTTTGCTATAAGGAGATGGTTCATTGTGAATATTCATTCATTATTCTTTCTATACTTATAGTTGAAAAGGTGTACTTACCAATTTGGTTATATAGGTATTATAATCCTGTCTATACATTTTCAATATCCTTTCTTTTAATTGCTCTGCCCTGGGTAGAATTTCTCTAAGCTTCGCCTGGTTAGCTGCCTTCATATTTGAGGGTACAGTGTTAAATTGAGGGTGCTTTCTCACTTTTTCCAGAAACAAGGTCATGAATTTGAGATAGAGGCAGTAGGCATTTTCCAGATTGCCCTCATCATAATAAACATTAGCCATGCGAACCATTTCTAGGCCTGACCTGTAATATCTGGAAAAACAAAAACAGGAATTTGAGCTGAAACTAACCAAAATTTAATAGGATTTTGAAAAATAGGTACATGCTGGCCTGTTCAAGAGGGGCCTATACGGGCTATACCTTATCTTGAAATCTGCAATGGCTATAAAAAAAATTAAATACAAAAGTTGTTTTTATAAAATTATCTACAATGTTTTTGCATTGTTTTTGTTGTGACTCTAGTATATACAAGGTTGAGAAATAGGTTTTTTCTATTTATGGAACACCCTACTTATATTTTAATACATTTTCACATAGCCCTTTGAAAGACAAATCCAACGATATACTGGACATGTGTCTGTGATACACCGTTTCAAACTTATTAGCGATTATCTTCAGGATTTGGGGTTATTTTCAACAGTCATTGTTACATTACTTATAAACTTTTAAAACTTGATCTGAGTGTCTTCTATATTGCAAATTTAGATGCTTACAATTTGGACAGTCCAAAAGGTTGTTTGAACAATTATTTGACTCATGCATATCCCCACATTTGTGGCAATATGGGTCTCCTTTGCAATACTTTGCCACATGTCCAAAATTGCAGCATTTAAAACACATTGCAAAATTTACATACTCTTGAATGTAGGCTTTAGTAAGATCAAAACAGAGAGAATTGTTTCTGATCCATTTAAAGAGTCTTGGTGGGGTTTGCAATATCCAATTTTCTTTTCTTTCGTTTCTGCATGTTTTTTTGGTGATAAATTTATTTAATATGTTTCTCCACATTTTCTCCAAATATAGCTGTTATTTGAGAGTTATCATTTATAAACTCCCGGATAAAGATTTCTGGTTCGTAGCCTTTTTCTATTCCCATTATCATAATCATTGGATCTGTATTCTGAAGGTCTTTTATTTTTAAATTTTCCTGCTTTTTAATTGATTTCTTGAAGTCTTTTCTTCTGATCTTAATTGTGACATTCCAATATAACTGCGCCACTCTGTAAATGCCGAACATTTTTGAAAGTTTCGTTTAGACCCATTTCATTTATTTTCTTTTTCACTTCTTTCACAATGTTCACAACTTCAGCTGGATCCTTCGATTTTATCAATATTTCATGTTTTCTAGATTTTTTTGGTGTTTTCCAACCCTCCTTTGGGATTTCCTCTCGTTCTTTATTTATTATTTTTGCAATGGTGCTGTAAGTTTTTAGAAGTTCTTTTTCCGTTTTTTCAGTATTATTTTCCAGCAAATTAGTTCTATTTGTGGTATTTTGTTTTGGACATTCCTCTTTACCATGATAATTTGCCTCGGAGAGGATAGATTCCTTTATTTCCAGTGTTCCTACTTTGTAGATAAGTTTGGTAACAGCCCCATGTAGTTTAAAACTAGCTTTTCTCATTTCCACCAGATCTTTCTTTTCAAATTTATCTTGTTCTGAAAAATTGTTTATAGTTCCAAGGGCCTTCAAAATAGTTTCAATCATATCATTTGTACTATTTTCAGGTGAATTTACTTGTTGAATGTCTTTGGGATTTTCGTTGTCTTTCGACTGGGTTTCATTTTGAAAGTTGTCTGTATGTTTAGGTATTTTTTTACGATCTTGAAATGCGGATGGGCTTGTTTCGGATCTTTGTCTTTTTAATCCACTGAAGTCATCAGTATTCGTATTTTTCGGAGGTGTTCTTTCCATTACCATTTTTGGATGAAAAACTTCCGCATAATCATTATTGGTATTTTCTAATAAAATATTTTCCTTAGTTATGCCATCGTCACTGGCTTCGGAAATAAATGTATCAGAATTTTTTATCACATGAGTATGATTATTTATTACCTTCAAAACCAAAAATTTTGTTTACTTCGGATCTTGATAAAAATGCGGAATCCACTGGAAAACTTCTTGTTATTGCTCCCTTAAACTGAGTGCCTCTTTTTGTTGCAAATTATTCTCTCTACCGCCACTATTATCACCCATACTTTTTCCTACACTTTTTGTACATAAAACTTATAAAAAATTCGCAAGATAATCGGAACCAAAAACACACACACAAGTCTACTCACTACTAAGGCTCAGTTAAATGCAAAAAACAATTGTAATTTTTTTATTAAATCACCTTTGGAAGCTCCTGAAAAATACTTCAAGCAATGAAAGGGACTCCAAGCATGCAGGATTTATTGAGTATGGTCTTTTTATCAAACAAAACAAACTGCGAATGGATCTCAGGCTTAGAAATGGAATTATTTTTTTCGGTTTGAAAATTTGGAAAATGTGTGGTGATCGTAAGCAAGGATACCCTTAACATGTCAACAACTGGGTACTTTACCTCAGCACCTTGGGTAGCACCGAGGGGTCAACCACTCTGTAAAAATGTGTACACGTATTGCGAAAATGTCGGTATTTCGTAAGTATTTCGCGAAATTCAAAGTATTTCGGTGGTGGTAATTCGAACCTAGTTTTTTGTGGTATTGCCGTACTTCGAAGTATTTGGAGGTAATTCGAAGTATTTCGAGGTAATTCGAAGTATTTCGTGGTAATTCGAAGTATTGCGCGGTAAGCCGAGGTATTTCAAGCTATTTAAAAATAGTTTTTATTTATTTACTGAGAACAACTAATTCCTTATCACCTAAAATTGGAATATTATAGAATGAAAACTATAGTCCATCTTCGAACAAGCTAAATAATTGTTGACATAATTAGGAGATACTGCAGATTAATTGAAACAAATGGAGAGATATACTACCTGATATGTATAAGTGATCAACTAACCAGTGTGTGTCAGTTAGTTAATAGTACAGGGTCATTCAACGAGGACTGAACAGGGAATTATTTCTGACTTTTTCTGTATTTTTGAGAAAATTTAAAATAGCCATTTGGAACATTTTTTTTCTGGAGAACTCAAAAATAATGGTACCAAAAAATCATTTGAACCATAAACCAAAGAATTACGCCCATGGATGAGCTGTTTTTTAAATGGAACACCCTGTTTTTTGTATGATTTTTGGAGAAATCTCAATTTTTTTACATGTATTTATTAAAAATGTGTGATGTTCCGATAGCTGTTTTTATTCTATTTTAATGTTTTATTCTTATTAATTTTGCCTTTACCTGTTTAATACATGGCAAGAAAATTCAAAGATTTCATCACCTATGAACACTGGCGTAGCCAGAGGGGGCAAGGGGGCATTTGCCCCCCCAAGACCTTTAAATTTTTTAAATAATTCTTCAAAATTAAAATAAATAGTCCCAAAAATAGCGGAAAGAAGCCTAAAAAAAGGGCTTTGCTCCCGCCGCTTTGCCTCTGTCAGCAGTAGCGGAGGGGCCGCAAGAAACACTTCCTGCAAATTTGCCCCCCTCCACCCCAAGACAGAATCCTGGCTACGCCAGTGCCTATGAACCAATTAAATCCAACAGGTAGAGCTAAAATTATTAGGCATAAAACATTAAAATAAAATAAAAACAGCTATCAGAATATCAAATATTAGGTTCCACAGAATAGACGTAAAAAATGAGACTTTCCCAAAAACACGGTGTTCTATTTAAGAAACAGTTCAACCATGGCGTAATTCTTTGGTTTTGGGTTCGACCGATTTTTTGGTACCATTTTTGAATTCTCCAGAGAAAAATATTCCAATTGGCTATTATGGATTTTTTCAAAAATACAGTTAAAGTCGAAAATTGCCCCTGTTCAGTCCTTGTTGGATGACTCTGTACCTAACAGCATTGTAGAAGTAACAGTCATCTGTATCACTAACTATTGATTCAATTGTCTCTCCTGTGTGTCCGAATAGAGTCCATCATATCAAAAGACACAAAAATCCGAGCAAAAATTTTTCACTGCGATCCACAAGAATACTTAATAGTTATCAACGAGAATTTCTTAGAAGCATTGCAGAATTTCGCGCGGTAGTTCGAGGGTATTTCGCGTACTTCGACGGTAATTCCATGGTATTTCACGTACTTCGACGGAAATACCCGGTATTTCGAGGTACTTCAAGGTATTTCTAGGTACTTCGAAGTATTTCGGAGGTTATACAACTCACTGTACAGTATTCCCATATGACAGGAGAGGCTTAATAAGTGATAAGCCTTTTGGGATTATCGTGCTTGGTGGCATTTATGGCAAATTCTATTATAGAATTTTTTTTTAATTTTGAAGTATTAAAGTTTTAGTTGGTTGTATAACCTTTTGAATACCACTCGATGTTTCAGGATTACCTAATACTTTCACCTGACACTCAACGCGTATTAACAAGTATTATTCGTATCAACAAGTATTATTCGGTAATCCTGAAACCTCTTGTGGTATTACATTCGATAATTCGGGCCAAGTGTACACGTATTTCGGAAAGTGGTTGACCCCTCGGGTAGCACTATTTAAAACTTGTCTTAAAAATATTATTGCTATGCCAGAGGGTATTCCAATTCATTCATTTATGTCTTGATTTATGTCTAATAAGATTTTGATCCCAGATATTTAACGAATACACACATTCAATCTTTTCTTGTGCTTTTTTAAGTGAAAATGCCAATATCAATAATTAATTACTTAGGCAATGAAATTGGAAACAAGATTGAGGTTGTACCTCGGGTTTTGGGTTTCACTATATGGAACTTTTGTCTAGCTTTAAATACCATATAAATATACCTAAATCTCGACTCAAATGCATTCACACCTTGAGAGACATTCATGAGTAAATAGAAGCACAAAAACTTAGTCACAAAAGAGGGTAATTCTAAATGCAATCCACCCAAACACATACAAAATACTAAAGGTATAACCACTACAAAAATAAATGGGTATCTCATATATTCATGTTATGGAAGTCTTACCGTGAAGGAGGTACATGAGGATCAACTTCCACCAAATTGCTATAATTGATTAACTGTTTTAAACGTTCCTGGGGTTCTATACTCTCTAAAATAATAGAAATTTTGCTTTTTGCCATTTCATATAATTTTTTTTTATGAATTCATGAGCTCAAATATAAGTTCAGTGAAGCGACTCATTAAAATTACAATTTACGATTGAATAAACTTTTGCTATGGTACCTATAGCTATGAATCAGAGGAAAACTTAATTAATCATTAATCACTCTTGTATTTGTTATGGTTTGATAGAAATTTGAAATTCATGAACTTTTCATTTGTTTGAGGTTGAGGTTAGGCTGGGCAGCGTTCGATAACCTCTGGATTGGGGTTTTAAAATCACACAAACCGTTCGGAAAAAGCGAACAAGAGCGAGCGGGCATTCTACCCTTGCGTTTATTTAAAAAGTTGAGCAAAATCAACTTTTTAAATAGACGAACGGTAAATTCAAGCTCGGAGAACTCAGATCAAAATACCGAACCCACAGAAAATCACACCTAGGAGGAGCTCCGGAACAGCTCCGGAGCGTAGGTGTGACGTCAGGTGACCATTGGCGTTCTAATGTAGGATGCCACCAGCTCACATCCCTTTCAAGTATCAGATTAAAATCGACGGACTTTACAATACAACTTATAAGCCTCTTTCCAGCTGACATTGTGTTTGTGATTCAAGCACGGTGCAGCACAGTGTTCTGTGTTTGAAGCGCAAAAGTTAGCAGCTCTTGAAGCGCAGTACGGCTGGAACACGAATACGCGCTTGAAGCATTGCGATTGCGGGCTCAAAATGGTCAGGAAAGCGGCTATAGTATCAATTAGGCCCCTTGCATCAAATTTTTTTATTGCTGATTTCGATAGTCCATGAAAAATAAGTCAACACGTGTTTTTTCTTTTTCTTGTTAGTCAAAAATTGACGGAGATACAACACTTTGAAATGTCCTTCCGACGTCATAACTTAGGTATAATACGTTGTGAGTTGTGACGTCGCACATGCTCAGTATATCTATATATATAAAAACTTAATATTTGTATAACTTCCGGAAAAATCATATTTGGGTGAAATTAAAAAAAAGTAACTATTTTTTTTCGATTTCCTACAGTTTGCAATAAACAATAATCAATTTAATTTTCCATGCAAGTACCCTATTGCCGTCTTCTTTTCGATTGGTTCTTAAAAATCCTATAATAATATATTCATATCGCTGTTCCAGAAGAAAACCGACGTATATGCGAAAACAATAATTTTAAAGGAGAGGCAAAAAACAACTTGCAATTGATTAATTTTATAAATTTCAAGGGGATAAATGTTCATTTTGTCTAAAAATAAAAACCTTAACAGTATTTTCTGGACCGCTTTAAGTACGCACTAATTGAATAAAAATATTTTTTGAAATTGATGGTGAATTTTGAATTTTATAGTTACGTTGTTAGCTTTGTTTTGGTTCGAAATTTGGAACGGTTCTGGGATTGCGCAGAACTGCTTGCGCACAAAAAATAATAGAGGACGGATCTAATACTAGTTCTGAATCGATTCAGAACCAAAAATACCAAAACGCGCCGCAAATCACAAAATTCTAAAACAGTTCCTCCTTTAGAGCAAGAACTGAGAGAACTGTTCTAGAACAATCCCAGAATTGTTCTTAAATAGTTTTAGATAAACCAAAACACTGTAAACACAATTCGATTACCATTCTGAAAAAACGAAAACGCGTTTTATATTATGCGCATGTGCAGAATGATTCCGAACTAGTTCTGAGTGAAACCAAAACAAAGCTGTTATATTTCTGAAATGAAACACATAAAATCTCAGTTGGGTCAACCTTTTTATTTCATAACATTTAAATTCCGCTTAGAAATTAGTGCTAAGCAAAAAAAAAGAAGAAAATGAACAAAAGACGTAAAAAATAATACTTATAGAGTCAATAACATCACTTTTGCACCAGAGTGTTGCTTGTACTTATGTATGTACATCAATCTCAGTTGTTGGGTGAATAACGACACAAACTGCACTTACGTCGGAATTTCTCAAAAATTGATACCACTTATTGACACAACTGATCCATGCGTCGGTGTTATTCGGAAATGTTAGCGCAAAGGACCTATAATGGAGTAACGACGCAACTACCATCTAGCGGTCAAATTTGGTAGTACAATTGCGGCAATTTTTTACCAAATGAATTCGAGTTTTCTTTTTTCATTAGTGTACTTAACTCAGTTTCGGAAGAAAATGCAGCTACGTCGGTATTCTTCTGGAACAGCGATATGGAAAACGCCGCCGTTTATTTAGCCACTGTAGTATCAGCTACAGTGACTGAATAAACCTTTACCCCTACCTGCTCGAAAATTAAAAAGATCTGCTAGCAGCTGCTATTTATGAGCTTATAAGTGCTGCTTTCTTTTCAGGGGCTTGGGCGCCCCAGGGCGCCCTGGATCCCGATTTTGAAAGGTAAAAACAGTTCTTTTTGATCGGGGCATCAAGCGCCAGTACGATCTGTGCTGAATTTGCTGTCATTTGCCGTTCAAATCTCAACAACGTACTCTGCGGGTCATTCAGTACTGAATCAGTGTACTGAAAATGTTTTCAATTTTGTATGATGGATGGCCATTTAAATCCAATATATCCATATTTAAAATTAAATAATATTTTTCATCATAAATTTAAATTCTAAGCTTTGACCGCTGGCGCAAACAGCTGACGACTTAGCCAATGACGTCGGCAATGGTGCTACCATATATGTGCGCGATTACCAAAAACGAGGCCGACAAAGCAGTCCTGTCTGTAATAGTGCGTATTATTCTTGCATGGTGTAGATCAAAGGTGTTTTCTCGCATCTCAATTATTTTTAAACGTCTTTCAAAACAAGTTCAAAACAGTGTCACATGACATCATAACTTCTCGGAGTTCTCGGCGCGAGAATAGTATATTAAAATACGTACAAGTTGCAGAAGGCCACATATTCCCACACGAGTGGACGAACGAATGAGTGCGAGAATAGCCTTCTGCAACGTGTGTTTTATTCTATTTTCTCGATTTTAGATTTTATTTTTCATTTTTAATTTTTTTTTGTCAACGCTGTTAGTTGGAGTTTTTTTATTTTCAAAATATGTCAGTTGGTGACACTTACTTACCAATCAACTGACAGCAGAGATAACTGACAGGTAGATTCATTTTCAATGAACTATACCTACACACGTAAAGTCTGTTTTTTTTCTAAAGATAATTCCCCAAGTCAAAAATTTAGTAATAGTCGGGGAGCTGGCGTCAAAAACATGCAAGAGTTTTCGCAAGGCGGATATTTTCAAAATAGGTCGTACTTTAGTGTTAGAATGCTAGTGTACAGTCAGCACTCACAGTTCCGGGACAGCTGGCTCTGGGACGCGGGCAAAGTTGTAATTTCAAGAAGCATCTAAACTGTTTTCTCAAAGCTCAAAATTTATAGAAATTTTGCACATTATCTGTTTGAAGGTCACAGATAACGTATGTAAATCGTCAGACGTCTAGTTCGTTGCAAAAAGGGGGTCAGACGGCCTCAAAGTTTTTATTTTATGGCATTTTCTTCGGTGTCCTGTCAAAATATATTTTTGCAGGTATTTGACAAATATATTTGAAGAAAATGCCATAAAATAAAAACTTTGAGGACGTCTGACCCACTTTTTGCAACGAACTAGACGTCTGATGATTTACATACGTTATCTGTGACCTTCAAACAGATAATGTGCAAAATTTCTATAAGTTTTGAGCTTTGAGAAAACAGTTTAGATGCTTCTTAAAATTACAACTTTGCCCGCGTCCCAGAGCCAGCTGTCCCGGAACTGTGAGTGCTGACTGTACACTAGCATTCTAACACTAAAGTATGACCTATTTTGAAAATATCCGCCTTGCGAAAACTCTTGCATGTTTTTGGCGCCACCTCCTGGACTATAACTATGTTGGCAACACAAGCCTCTTCTACATAAAAAATTTGAAAGCATTGACAATTTTACATTGTATTGCCAACATAATGTCATTTTGACTTTTATCTGCTTTTATCTTAAAAAAAAAAACAGATTTTACCTGGAATGGCACCGACCGTTGTCGGATTTGGCATTTGTATGGCATTTTGTCATCTCTCTAAGGGCGAGTTCTCATGAGTGTAAGTTGACATTTCTGGCGTAAACATGTGATAATATAGTGTAATTTGATTGGTAAAATCTCCAGCATGGCGAATATTTTACCAATAAAATCGAACCATTTTATCACGTGATTACGCCAGAAATGTCAACTTACGTTCATGAGAACTCGCCCTTAGTGCGTCCAAAGAAAGCTATATAGTGGGGGGATACCTTTCTCTCTCTATTTCATTGCTGTTACGTTTGGTGTATATTCCTAACCTCAAATATAATATTTTTTAGACAAGGAAAGATTTTCAAAATTGGCCCATAAGGTAAATAGAGATAGGGATCTCCCACATACTCCATCTCAATTTGCCGCATTTTAAAGATAGGCCGGGCCATTCCAGGTACGTGTATTAGACTATCCAAGATGCTGTCAAACTTAAAATAAAATGTCCGCCAAGAGGCACACAAATCCTTTGTTTATGTGTCATTCAATGTGTCATCCACAGTGTCATCAAAATTATAAAAAAAAAGATAATGCTCATTGTTCATTTGCGTTTTGATACTCCAAACTGTTGTTTTTACTCGTATTTTTATTAATGTTAGAAATAGTGTATTCAAGTAGTCCGCCAACACATCAACAGCAGAGTCAGGAAGATTCAAGATATCCTAACTCAGATATCGTCCCATCCAGAAGATTTTCTATTTTTTATACTAAGTCCTGAGCAATCGTAGGTACAGTAGTATGGATTAATATATTATCTGCATTCAAATTGGAAACACATATGTATATTTCCTATTTTTTTTTTCGCGTAGATCGTTACTTTTTTTTGTTTATTGGATGCGGATGCCAACCTTTCATTGTAATAAATCTTTCTTGCCTGTTTCGTCGTCTTTCTGTAGATGCTCCTGTATCCATTATTTGAAGTAGGTCATAAAAAATATATTATCAATAGCAAGCGCAAACTTTCTTAAGGAATGAGGACACCTGAATTTTCTAGAAGCAATTTTTAAACCTTTTGTGATACAAGGCTTTTTCTTTTTCGATTTTAGCTTGACTAACGGAAATGCATGGTTAATAATTTCAATATTCTCACAATGAAATGAATGCAGAGCATTTACCTTCAGCAAAATCGTTCTCCAATCAAATCTAGAGCAAACTTGTGAAAAAACAATACAAATTAAGCACAAACACTGGACGGTGGAGTTGCAACAAATAAATATTTTCACATTTTAAGGGTAGGTCTTGGGTGTCCAAGTGAAATGTAGGTACAGCAATCTTGCCCAAATAATAGGGATTCCGTAATTGGGTAGAAACGGCCAAAAATTGAGACGCACACAATCCTAATGACGTTATGGTTTGTGTTTGTGTCAAATGTTTGTGTGCCTGTTCATTAATGTGGCTCTTGCCGGCCATATTTGTGTCACGTGTTCTGGATAGTCTACTTGGATTAAATATCCCTTAAATTATAGCGGTGCAAATGGCCGTAATAGGTATACTTTGAAAACTAAGGCTATTAGGCAATTCAAACCACGTGACATTCAAGATGGCGTGGCGGCCACACATGGGCCAAAAAACACAAAAAAATATCTAGTTTCTGCCCGAATTAATAGTTTAGGTACCTAGTCAAAAAATAGTTTATTAAGTAATGAAAATCAAAGTTGTAAGCAAAACTGTATGCAAAATAATTTAAAATACGCATAAAAACATATTCAAAACAAACTTGCTTGGCCGCCACGTCACATTGAATTTTCCTTTTTGACAGATGGATTGAATTGCCTAATGGTCCATATCTGCCAAAAAAATGAAGCCATGAAAGACAGATGCCACAACGGGGAATGTTGTTTTTTTCTGTTGCTCGCTGACATATACGTTTTCTAAAGTTTTGTCATATTTCCCTTCACAGGTTTCATCAATTGGAATACGTGTTGGAAGCAATTTTCGCCATTTAACATAATGAGTGCGACAAAAACAGGTATCCCCTCCGCAGCAGCCGCACTAGGCTTCACGTTCGTCCTTATGTGTTAGCATTCCAGTTTTTGTTTATAGTTCATTGGATAAAACCAACAGAACCGACATCCGATGGCCGGTAACTATTTTGACATTTGGTTAACCAGATTTCAGGAAATTCTTGAGGAAACCCAAGGAGAATACACTCTCTAAGGAGTGCTTATCGGCCTCGTTTTTGGTAATCGCCGCCATATTGGTTTTCAACTGTTTTCAACCATTGCGGACGTCATAACTAAGTCGTCAGCTGTTTAAACAGGCTACGTCAAGGCGAAAAACGCCATGCTGCTTACGTCACAAATGGTTGTTTGGCATAGGGGGGAAGGGGGGGATTTGTTACACACAAGCCTTATGAGGATAGGCCATCCTGTAGTAAGTAGTGTGTATCATCCTTGGAGGAAACCGAGGTCCAAAAGTAACCACTTTTCCAGGAACCAGAGTACCAATTTTGATGTCACATCATGGTTTCATCGCGAGAATATACTGTTCTGAACCGGTTTCCAGAAAATGAACGCGAAACAACAGCTCATATCTCAAGAACTTTGACCGTCCCCTCCACACTAAAGTACCAGTGTTGACGCAGAAGCGTGTCATTTCTGGCCTGGACGTAGGGTGTTTGCACCACAGGCTATGATTCCGCTGGTTTTTGTTTTATGCATACTTGGTTTAGTACGTATTAACATTCTCAAACGACCCTTTTTCAGATCTCGTTTGCATCTTCCTCTAGCCTTTTATGTTCATGAAAATTAAATAACATTTTTCTCCATAAATGTATATTATAAACTAACCCCGCTGGAGCAAACAACTAAAGACACTGTTGATGACTTCGGCAACGGTGCATCACCATAATACGACCTTGATTCCAAAAATCGAAGCCGATGAACAATCTTGTAGTCAAGGATACGCACAACGTAATACTAAAATCTGTTTTTTTTTTTAAACCTTGCGTTCGGTATTTTGCTCAAAAAGCAGAGCGTGCTGAGCGGAGCCACGTGACCAGTGAGCGCACAGAGCAGTTGAACGCTGTTTATAAGTGCCAGAAATTTTAATAAACGAACGCGAATGAGGCTGCCCCGAGTACACTTTTTAAATAAACGAACGGTAAAGTCAAGCTCGGAGAACTCGGACCAAAATAACGAACGCACGGAAAGATAAAAGTCAAAATGACATTATGTTGGCAATACAATAACCCTTTTCACGTGGCTCCGGTTTAACCAACCGCAACATACCGCTCAAATTCGAGTGGTAGGTATCCATCACGTCACTTTGTAACCGGGTTAGAAAACGGTATGTCATTTCTCTAACCGTTTTGCAACCCGGTTAGTTAAACCGGAGCCACGTGAAAAGAACTTATGTAAAATTGTCAAATGCTTTCAATTTTTTTTATGTAGAAAAGGCTTGTGATGCCAACTAGTTACTAAATTTTTGACTTGGGGAATTTCTTAAAAAAAAAAACAGACTTTACCTATCAAAAAATCGAAAAATAGAATCGCTATTTTAGAATCCGGCCGGCAGTAGCAGTGGGATTCTCAACGTGAGTTCGCAATAACCCTTTTCACGTGGCTCCGGTTTAACAAACCGCAACATACCGCTCAAATTCGAGTGATATCGATCACGTCACTTTGTAACGGGGTTAGAAAACGGTATGTCATACTTGACATACCGCTACTAACCGTTTTGTAACCCGGTTAGTTTAAACGGAGCCACGTGAAATGGACTAATGGTAAGTATCGACACTTTTTAATTACACTATTGACACTGCGGCGTTCGGTAATTAGTAGGAGTAATTCTGGTGTAGTAAATACACTTTATTTGCGTTTGGAAATAATTCGATGCCCGAATGATTGGACACCGTTTACTCGGTACAAAGTGATGGTGAATTTGGTGTTACACTCCCGATTACACTTTCATCACGTGATATACCCCTGCACTACACGAACACCGCACTAAAATCCCATTCCGAACAATCCGAACTCAATTTCAATCGATTGTGAAAAAATCCGTATCTGCGAGTCCCGATGTCAACATCAACCAATCTCCCCACCATCACTACCACCAGTGACAGTAATTAATTAATTTTTTTAATTTACAATCGACTTTCAAAACAAATTCAAAAAAATCAGAGAAGCGGAAAGCTTCAATCTGGTGTCATAATTTAATAATTGTCACTATCAATCAAATTATTCTCTAGGAAGATGTCTTTAATCTTTAGGTAAGCAAATAACAAAAAATATTTTCTGTATATCAAAATTTGGTTATATAATATTATTTTAGGTTAGCTGGCCCAGGCTCAAGACTGGGTCCTCAAATTTTGAGACAGAACTGCACCAGAATGCTGAATGCTGTGAGACCAGTTACCATGAAGTGCGAACCTGCAGTGCCAGACAAAAACGAATCCCATGATGAACGTAACATGAGAATTGGCCGCCCACAGTCACCCCATTTGAGTATCTACAAACCCCAGTTGACTGCTTTGCTGTCTATTACTCATAGAGCTACAGGTAAGATTAGTATACTTAGATTTAAAATTGATCACACGACACACATCCAACAGTATAATACAAATATGCATTATATTGGCCTTTGCTGTATAATGGTAGAACTTTGCTAAATTCCTAGTGTAGTGAATAGTGATTCCTCTAACATGAACCTAGTGATTTCCTCCTTTTCCCAAACTATTCCCAGCTTAGATTATCCAGAATGATTGGATACTAATAAACATACAAGTTCCAAGGATTTTGAAATGTACCTAAGTATAAGCAGGTATTCAATATTCAATTCGATTTTAAAAACATGTTTATTCCATTTCAGGTATGGCTCTGTCTGCTTACGTCATCGCGTTGGGTTATTCAGCTGTTTCTCTGCAATTGCCCCTTGACCATTACATTGAACAACTAAAACTAATGCAAATTGGTGCTGGTCCAGTATTTGCTTTGAAATTTTTAGTGGCTTTCCCACTCAGCTATCACTTTTTCAATGGTATACGTCATTTATTATGGGACACTGCCAGGTTTTTGAGTATTAAAGAAGTGTATGCTACTGGTTATGCAATGTTGGCAGTATCTACTGTAGGAGCTATTGTTCTTTCTGGAATGAGTTAATTTTTTGTATAAGGGCCTTGTATTATAATTTATTCTTATCAAGTAGGTATACTATGTCAATACCTATGTATATACCATATACCGAGCCATATACCTATGGTCAGCTTATACTTCAAAGTTAAGACATTAAACCTTCATTATTTAATGCTGTCGTTCACACCTCAAGTTAAACTAAATTTGAAGTTTGGCCCACATTCAACAAATAATAACACAGATTGTTCTAGTTTCTACTAATCCTACTCATTCGTTCAGGTTTAGTGGTTCAGGGCATGGGTCAATGAGGTATTTTATAAAAATTGTACTACATATCTACTTTTTTTCTAACCCAACTGTATATTTGTATTGTTATAATTAATTATTTCAATATTATTTTCTGTGTATTTAGCACAAAATGAATAATGATCACTGTACTCCTTGAAAAAGTTCTATATTTTCTGCTTTTTAGCTGAAAATTAATTTAATTTAGGTCCAGTTTCTCAATTAACTTCATTCACCTTCTGATAAACTGTCAAATGACAAATAAAAGCCCTATTCTATAATCCTTTTGGTTGGCCCGATAACTAGTTTGGTATACCTAATATTTGTCTTTTAAACAGTTACCAGCCATTTTATCATAACAGGAATAAACCTGGCCTTAAATTAGGACAGTATTAATAAATTGTACCAAAAATTCTTAGTGTAGTTTTTTTGTTTAATTCTCAATTTTGGAAATATAAACTGGCTATTAATTTATGTTTGACATTTTTAATTTTTTTTTGAAATATACTGTTCATACTTTATAAATAGTGACTTTATTGATTATGTTTATTCGGTTACCTACGAGTGTGTGGTAAAATGCACTTTACGGAAGTTCTTTGCAAGTGGAAAGTAGCACTTTACCCCACACTATGCGGTCTTTATAAACAAAATCCCGTCTCAGAAATTTCAATAATGCCTTTTTTTGGAGTTATATAACTCCATATGGATGTTCACAGGTAAAATTTTGTACCTAACACATGTGGAAAGTGCCTATAAGGTATGTTTTCGCTTGTGCATCTGGCGGTTGCATCGGGCAGCCGCCGCTGGCGGCAGCCTACTGATTCAATGCGTTTTGTCATAACCGCTGAGATGCACAAGCGAAAACGGTTATGATAAAACGCATCGAATCAGTAGGCTGCCGCCGGTGGTGGCTGCCCGACGCAACCGCCCCACGCACAAGCGAAAACATACCTTTACCTCCCTTAACAGCTTTATCCAACTACGCTTCGCTGCCGTCGCGTGCGGTAAAGTATCACTTTCCGCATTTGTTGGTAAATAACTTTCTCAGGAACGGTTATTCAGTTTAGCTGTTGGTTAATAATTATCATTGGTCAGCCAGCAGCTAAACTAGATAACCGTCCACTGATAAACATGGCTGAAGTTAGCTTCATATTCATATTCAGATTCGTGTATATTACAGTCGACCAGATAATTATTGAAAAGAAAAATTAAAAAACTGCGAAATTCAATCTAATACAATTATTATAATATGTAGGGGATTTCTGGGATTCGGTAAAGATAGAAATAACCCTCAGGCACATCTAGGGATATTTTCTCCAGTTAGGTTAAGTCTGAGAAAGTCACTATGGGTAGCGTTTCCATACGTCCGGATTTACCCGGACATGTCTGGGTCTTTAGGGTATCCAGGAGAGTCCGGCCGGAATTTAGAACAATGGCCGGAAAACTCGGAGATCGTGAAAACATTCAGACTCACTCAGTTTACGCACTATTCAAAAGACGTAAAATTTTACTTCACGCATTAGTACGTAAAGTAAAAGTAATTCACTTTACACACTTGTGCATGAAGGTGAAGTAATGTCAATGACAGATGTCGACATTGTCATTTTTTTCTGGTAAATTACTTCACTTTACGCGCTAGTGCGTGAAAGTATACTCCTGGATAAAATTATCTCACCGCACCACTTCACATAAGTATCTCCATAAGCAGTGGTGCGATAATTTTGTCCAGGAGTATATTTGTCTGAATTTATTTTTTTACAGAGAGAGCTGGTTTAATACAAATAAACTGTCGCTTAACATAAAAAAAACCAAGTGCATTCATTTCAGCAATCCAACAAAAAAGAAAATTCAGATAAGAATACGAAACACCCCTTTGACCATTGTAAGTGAATATAAATTTCTCGGAATAACCATCCAAAAAAACCTCAAATGGGATGTACATGTAGCGGCTGTGGCAAAGAAAGTATCATCGGGGCTATTTGCAATAAACACTTCCTGGAAAAATCTTGGACCGGCTGTGGCAACTCAAATATATTACTCTCTTTTCGAAAGCCACATGCGATATGGAATTCTCTACTGGGGTCTCTCTACATCAGTTAATACAGAAATTATATTCTTATTACAGAAAAGAGCAGTTCGCTTGCTCAAAGGAATATACAATCAGAGAATCCATTGCAGGCCATTGTTCAAAGAGCTGAAAATACTAACTTTCTACGACCTTTGCATCTTTGAAAACATTCGATACTGGCATAAACACCGAAATGACGCAGAACGACGCACAGATATACATCCCTATAGAACTCGCCAAATGAATGACCTCCAGACTCCTTCATCCCGCCTTACCCTGACCAAAAATGCATTCCTACACATGGGAAAACTGTTCTATAATAAGCTACCACCGCAAGTCAAAGAAATCAGACAACAGAAAAAGTTCGAGCGGTCAGTCAGAATTTACTTGGAAGAAAGGGCCAATTTCAATGAATACATGACGAATACAATGTTACCTAAGGACTTTATCTAGTTTGTTTAACCCTTTAACGGGCAAAATTTTCCTAAGACTATTTTATTCAGAAAATGCTAGTTATGTAGTCTTTTGGAAACAAGAAAAGATAATTTGTCACTAGAAATCGAGTTTTCTATTTTTTTCGTTCCTATATTAGGCGGTAAACCATTTTACCAGAGACCATTTAGGACTAAATATGTAGGTAGTGTTCTCTGGTACAAACCCTATACCACACCTTCATAAATAATGCAATAATAAAATGAATTTCTGCGGGATCAGAATAAAAAACACAATAGCTTTCAAACAGAATTAGAACAAAAACGAAATATACAATAACTAAAGAAAAATTACATCAAACTCTATAACAAATGAACATTCCCTATCTTACTTCCATATGATCCTAAATAAGGTCCTAAAATTTTCCTAATCATCAGATATTGTGAAAACTGGATTGACAAAATCAAAAACAAATCAGAAAAATATTACAATAACAATTAGTGCGATTTAAAATTGTTCATTATCGTTTTTATACCACAAAACATGGAAATAATGTTGAAATTGTATACATTCGAAAGAAAATTTGGAAAAATTTTCCTAGCGCAAAAAGAACAGAATGAAAAGTTGATTGATATTTTATGGAGACATGTATATGAAGCATGTATCAAATTATGAATCTTGAACTAGGAGTAGAACTTATAGAAAAAATAATTCAAAATGTACACAAAATTCACAAAATAAGTTCCAGGTTGAGAATATGTATAGTTTTTTACTAAATAACTGAGTACAGCATTAGAATTTTGAATTTATATCTATTCAGTATACATATATAGATGATAATTACCTATTTGATTCGTCAAAATCCCTTCCAGATTATAAATATTGATAAAAATATGAATTGAAGTACATAAAACAACATAATTGATGCTTCTCGAGTCCCACTGGTATATATGGTGTACCACTTTCAAAAATGCGACCGCATCCAGAAAAATCTTGTAATAAACTGACGTCGGAGACTGACGTATATTGAATGACGATGTTTTTAGGATGCATTAAAACCAGATTTTCAGATTATAATAAGGAATAAACAAGGTGGTACTAGGTTTACACCAGAGAACGTTAAAGGGTTAAATTTGTTACAGTGTTTTGTATATTTTTTATATTGTAACTTGTGTTTATATACTTTTTTTATTTTATTTATTTCATTTTAATGTTGCTTTTTAATTGTATTTTTTTTTTAACATGTAATTGATGACGTACAGCAGCAGTGCTTATTGTCTTAATAATTCTATCTATCTATCTATCTACACATATTTTATTGGTAGTAGAATTTTTTTTCGCTGTGTCTAGCCTCCCGGCACCGGTATTCATAAGAATCCCGGTTATGACGCGTTTTCGATGACTCCATCAACGACCGCCGGGATTTATCGTGGGTCCAGGCTATTGGATTCAAAATTCAAAGTCGTGTTTCTCTTGCTGCTTGAAGCTGTGATTAATTCTGGAATAGCTTTTGTGTATTATTTTTTCTTGTTGTGATATTGGTATCTATTAGAGGGGTGAGTACTTCGTTAATCCACTTTTCGTAGTAGTGCGGTTTAAAAAGGGAATATTATGGTTTATTTTCATTCATTATTCAGGACTATAGCTTTTTTAACAGCCTGTATCTCTGAAATAGGGTACTCTTGGACCCATGTTTATAGGAATTTTTGCTCTTAATTTGAGATGTAGAATCCGCAGTTAAAATATTAACCTCTAATTTTGGGGCACCCTGTGTAATGTTGCTAAACATTTAACGGCGTTGCTGTACAAGATTAAATGCTGAACAAACTTTCAAAATGACCCTGTACCTACATATAATAAAAAGTCATAATTTTATTTTCCATTAATAAGAGCTTATCGCGCCCGACTTTGGTTACTTTTTTTACTCTTCATAATAAATCTGCCCCAATACCAATGAACATAATAATTATTAACATCTTATATAGCCGGAATCCACGACAGTTACCGGTGGTTGTTGATGAAGTCATTTAAAACGCGCCATAACCGGGATTCGAATGAATACCGGTGCCGGGAGGCTAGACACAGCGAATTTTTTTTGTATACGCAATACGTGCGTAAAGTGAACCTTTTTTCACGAGTGTGAATTTTGTCGCACTCACCCTTCACTTTACACACTTGTTGCATATAATAGCTATTTCGGCGAAGTCCGGATTTTGTCCGGATTTCTTGACTCCTTTGTCCTGGATTCCGAAAAACCTTTATGGAAACCATGGGGGAAAACCGATAATTTGTTTGAAAATTTGTGGAGAATTAATGATGCTTTGTGGGGATTTTTGAAATTTGAGGATGATAGAGTTGACCCTTAAGCACAGTTCAGAAGAGTTTTTACAGTCAAGTTATGTCTAAGAGATTCATTCCGGGGGGAAGTCGATAATTTGTTGGATAATTCGTGAAAAATTAATGATACTTTGTAGGGATTTTTTGAAGTTTGAGAATGATACAGTTGACCCTTTAGCATAGTCCAGAATGGTTTTTGCATTCAAGTTAGATCTGGGAGATTCATTACGGGGGAAAGTCGAGAATTTGTTGGAAAATTCGTGAAAAATTAATGATGCTTTGTACGCATTTTTTAAAGTTTGAGAATGATAGAGTTGACCCTAAAGCACAGTCCAGAATAGTTTTTACATTCAAGTTAGGCTTGGGAAATTCTTTACGGGGGAAAGTCGATAATTTGTTGGCAAATTCGTGAGAAATTAATGATGCTTTGTATGGATTTTTTGAAGTTTAACGTCCAATTCCATAATCAACTTAAAGTAAACTTTAAATTTAAAGCTCCATTTGAAGTTGAAAAATCCTATCCTAAAAGTATTGAACTATCCAAGATGCTGTCAAACTTGAATTAAAATGGCCGCCAAGAGGCACACAACCCCTTTTTTATGTGTCATTCAATGTGTCATGAAATTTTTTTCAAAAAAATAGTGCTCATTGTTCATTTGCGTTTTGATACTCGTTCTTTTTACTCGT